TAATCTTAACATTTTGATCTTGCCTGTAAATTGGCATGTCTCTTGTAACATGTTTGTTATTTGAGAATAAATTATTATTATTATTATTATTATTCAGAGACAGGCATGGTGAGAGAAACATGTGAGGTAGGAAATAATAAGTGTTGTTCGTCAGAGTTAACTGATGACTCCCAAAGAACAGATGAGGAAGTCGCTAGGGGGCATAAGGGTGGATCGTTTCGTAAGTCCATTGGATAAGGTATAGTGGAGTTAGTCAAATCTTTGGACAATGTGAAAGGTGGTTTGACAAAAGGACCAGACATAAAGGTATTACAGCTAGAAGGGGAAGACAGCGTCAAAGATCGATTGTCATCCATTACATCACAGAATGCAAAGCATGACTTGAAGGAGGGGGAAATATCGCCCTCAACAGCTGGAGGTAGAAAAACAACTCTGTTGAGGGGGTGAGCGTTAAAAAGGGTTAGGTACATTTTTTGGAGAGACTGAAGAATTGCAAAAGGAATTTCGGCTAGGGTGGTGTCTAGGAACATTAGGTGGATGCCCAAGCAGGCTAGTGTTACGAGTTATCTCAGCAACTCTAGGCATCCTAGTCTTTTTGTACGCAATCAAGGGCAAAGACTTTGGGTTAGAAACGGGGAGGCGCTTACGGTTAGAGTTTAGGGAGGTATTTATGGTATGAGTGTCCGTATTCTCAGGAGTCCTAGGTTTTAATTTTAGAAGTATAGTAGCGTCCCGAGTAGGAGAGGTAGGGGGCAGGCATTGTTGTTTATTAGGTATGTTAAGTACTGCAGACTGACGGTTAGGGCGAGTAGCACGTCTCATGTGGGAATTTCGAACCACTAGGTCTGTCCGTTTATCTTTGGGACAATGTTTATGTATTACAAAAGTGCGATTGACCTGTGGTTTACATGTAGATTGGCTTTTGACTACGGGACAAGTTGCAGCACTTTTGTTCAGGGGACAGGTCTTCGGACTAATAGTCACTTTGGATCTGTTCTCCGTTTTAGGAGGGGTGGAGTTAGGTATAGTAGGGTTAATGTGACATTCGTGATTGTCGCTGCTACTAGTACACGAATCGACCGGCATAGTTGAAAGGCCATTGGTAATACGGCGTTGTATAGTAGTTCTATCCCTGATAATTCTAATCTTTTTAAACAAAGGAATGTGTCTAAGCAGTGACTGACTGTTAATAAAGTGATTGGCTTCGATGACAGTACTAAATTGAAGAAGAATGGGACAGGAAAATTTAGTCTGAATTTTACGAAGCTTGCGTGCTACACACCAAGAGCCAGACAATCCACACTCTTTAAGGAGAGTGTTTTTAACAGAATTGAGGCTAGCACTGTCAGGTACGTTATAAACAATGGCATTCTGCATGCACTGAAGTCTTTTTAACACTTCAGAGAATATGTGGTCAATTACTATTTCCGTTTTTTTAATGATATCGAGATCAGGATTTTCTGGAACACTGACCAGGTATTTATAAGGTAGTAAATCCTGAATGGTTTGCTTGATATCGAATGCACTTAAGGTGTCCTCAGAGCTAATAGTGGGGCATCTATTGGAGTTCAGGTCACATCTGTTAAGGCGAATAGGATGATGAACAGACTTGCTACAAGTGTTTTGGGGTTGCTCAGTCTGCGTAAAGTCATCCGAAGTTATGAACATATCAGAAAGTGAACAGTCCAGATCAACAGTACTGGATATCCTATGGCAAAAAGGCCTAGAAACATTTTTCGGATTGCTATGAATTCGATCCTCTTGCGGGCTCGTCAAATGTTTAAGACCAGCCACACTTTCTACCAAGTGCTCACTGGAGTCTATTTCAGATGGAACACAAGAAGTAGTGGATGGTGTCGAGTCACTCGGAAGGAGGTGAGTTGTGTTTATATCAACGAGCGGGATACACGGTAAAGAGAAGTCGTTTACAAGTTCACGGTAAGATTCTATTGAGCCAGTGGGGAGATCAGAATAAGAAACGGATGGAGCAATGTTCTTACGTTTGATTTTATCGAATTTAGTAGCTGATTTGGATCTTTTACAGATGTTATATTCGACAGGTGAAATCAAGTGTTTTTTAGATAAACGTGACATCTTTGTGGAATTATTTGTAAGCAGAGTTGTGTTACTATAGGCACAATGTCTGTTTGGAATTATGAAGCCAAAAACTACAGCGAAAATTACTAAAATAAGAATAACCGAGGAGAAGTTGTAAGAGATGAGTTAATATGTACCGTTGAACTAGAGTAAAAAGATCGGAAAACGAAAAAGATAATACACGTGAAAAAAGGCACAACCTTCAAAGTACGCGCGTTTACTTTGTGGATACGTTTAAAAGAGCACTGCTTAAGTCAAAAGGGGAGGGGACGCCAGCCGAAGCATTACAAAATTTCTTGTACGTCTATCGGACAACACCAAATGAATTGTTACCGGAGCAAAAGTCCCCAGCTGAAATCCTGATGGGAAGAAGATTGAAAACGATCCACAGCCTGATGCATCCGACTAATGCACCCTCATCAGTAAAGACAAAGCAGCAAAGACAATCCGCTTACGAAGTAGGATGCTTTGTGTTTGCCCGCGACTACAGAACGAACCATGGTCCTTGGGTAGAAGCGAGAGTGGTCAGAAGGGTTGGTCGAGTTATGCACGAAGTACAGGTAGGAGGTGATAAATGGTCACGTCATCGCAATCAGATACGCAGACGGCTAGCCCCAGATCGCCCATCAAGAGCAAAAAGCCTTCCCCTTGACATCTTGCTTGATACCTTCAACCTACCGAGAGCCCCGCCACGAGAAGAAACTCAGCAGCAAGCTGTTCTTCGTTCTCGAAGGTATCCCCTCAGACAGCGGCTAACAGTAGTCAAGATGCAAGTCGACCCCAGGAGAACACGCTATTAAAAAGGGGAGGAGTGTTGGGGATGTTAGATCCCCAAAATTCGCTTGATAATGCCGTATTTTGGTTTTCACGTTTTGCCAGCATGAGCTGATCAGATGACCTTGAGATTTCAATTCCCACCAGGAAAATCCATGGCTGTGATTGGCTGCTGTGTATTTTAGTATGCTATTTTCTTAACTGTCTCAAGGACGTTCTTATGTTGTATAAATAAACGAGAGTTGTATGCTTGATTGTACTGTGATTGCTGGGTGTTTGTAGAATATACTTCTACGCTTACAAAGCCTTTTATTTCGATTTCGGGTATTCAAGGTAGCCTCTCTGGAAGCTGGTAAAAGTCTCGTTCGCGTTTATCGACTAAGGTAAACTCGTAATAGCCTCAAGCATACTAAGTGACGAACTTATCAAGCAGTGTGATATTCTACACGGATATTTGGTCCAAAACAAAGAAGCCAAAGTCCTTTGGATTAATTGTAACGTGGAGCTAGTCTTAGGTCCACTCTTGTTTCTAATGCACATTAATGACATATGTAATACTATAAAATTTGGAAGAGCATACTTATATGCTGATGATCTGAAAATAGTATACAGCTATAAGCCTGAAGATCTGGACGAAAATATAGCTAAGATTCAGAGTGATCTTGATAACTTCAGTACCTGGAGCGAGACATGGCAACTGCCGTTTAACCACAACAAATGTGCCATAATGCATTTTGGCAAGCATCACCTTGATTCACCAGTCTACTTACAAAAATGTAGGGTTCAGACACTCATATCAGCGCGTGACCTTGGTATTAGTTACTCTAAAAGCCTAAAATTCGAAGAACATGCCTCAAATATTATCTCTAAATCTAGACGACTCATTGGGTTTATAAACAAGAACTTCTTCACAAGTGAGGCTAAGCTTACTCTCTTCAAAATCTGTATAAGGCCCACACTTGAATATTGTTCACTCATATTTTCAAACATGAATATCATGGACAAAATGCGAGTAGAAAATGTACAAAGAAGCTTCACCCGGCGACTACTCGGATTGAGCAATAACCTCGACTACACAGAAAGATGCAAGCATCTTTCCCTAGAACCTCTATGGCGCCGTCGTCTCAAAAACAACCTAATGCTCCTCTATAAACTAATAAATGGTCTTTCGTTCGTAAAATACCGCCCAACTATGAACCAAGACACTGCTTACAGACTTAGAAACAACGCATATACACTATTAACGGCAAAACACAAAAAATCATTGCGTTCTAATTTCTTTGTAATACGATACAGTCTACTGTGGAACAGGTTACCAATTACTATCCGTATTTGTGACACAATCACTAAGTTCAAGAAACTAGTTATGCTGTTGCTAGATTCTAAAGAGATTTATCGACTATTCCCGGAACTCACACAAAGTCCCCAGGCACTCTTTTATGGTCCACCAAATATTTAGATAAACCTCAGAAATTAATTATAGACTAT